CCACAAGGTTTAGGCATCCAGGCATGTCCTGTTCTGGATTTTCTTCTCTTTTTTGGCAAGGTTTCCTACTTAAATGCGTTTGGCGTTTTTCGGTCTGAAGATGTCCAGCCGTCTGCCCCCATTCATTTACCCACCGCGTCTGGTTTCGGAAAACTTTCACAGTTGACTTTATTCGGCGAGGGTCCTCTAGTTAAATTATTATAATGATTTACGCTGAAGTGGCAGTTGTTACTGCAGAGCCAGAGTTCGGGGATCTTACGAATATTTAAAGTTGGGCTGTTTGCCGTCTTCAAATTAAATTAGTCATCCCCAATTAGAGTGTTAAACAGGACCTTTCTTTTTTTAATTGAGCCTTTTTGACATCGTTATGTCCAGTTAACAATTTAATATTGATTGTAATTTATATAATTATACAAGTTACTCGTATTAGGTCATACTAGATTCTGTAAATTATATATTTATATTCTGTAAAGTAGATATATGTTTACCTATAAGCAACCATTTAACGCAGAGCCCTCAGGCATTTTCACATAAGCCACTCAATGTCTTGCGCAAAGAAACCAACTCATATTTAACACATTTGCCTTATTTTGTGTAAAGAACTCACTCCTATTCAATTCTGTTCGAATGCATTCATTTAACAGTAAATTGTGAATGATGTCAAGCTTAATACTTTTTGGAAACTTATCGAACTTTGAGGCCTTTTGAATTTGCTCTTCACACTTTGCCAAAGGATTCTCTAGGTGAATTGGACCGTTTTCCACTTGCACCTCTGTCAAATATGGGTACTTGGCGGTCAACCCTTTGGCAACTACATCTCCATCATTCGCACTTACATTTGAACGTTTCAATTTCAAGTGTTGGGATTGGCCCACTTGGAAGTGGCCCGATGTTTCCTTCAAGACAGCTTTCAGCTTTGTGCCGGCCACATTCCACTCGGCCAGATTGCTCCGTGTGAAGGGCCATATAGCTGCAACCCCAGAGTGATTCTATGTTTTATGAAAGGTGACATGTGCCAACAACAGTCGAGTCCTAGCCACATTGCTGGTCGACCCCCTGGCCCATTGTGATGTCAGTTCCATTGTTACCAACCCGCTTATGTACTTCATGTTAGCACTCGGCGTGTGTGTTCTTGTGGTTTCTTCTGCAACATGTTGCGAGTTATTACAAACTCAAGTGGCATTCAAGTGTGGCAGCTGTTGGCTAAAGAAAATGGAAGCTCAATTTTGTGTTTAATAAATAAATTAATTGAATTAGGGCCCAACGGTTTATTTATATTTCTTATGCATGAACATATAAAAACAAAGCCAAAAACCACAATTGACACAGATTTCTTCGGAAATTTAACTTATGCGTAAAATAACAACAGTTAGTTTCTACTCAAACTCACATTATCTCCGCAGTGTGCTGAACATTCATAAACTTCCGTCTGAGGAAACTTTATTGCAAGTGAGAATCGGGATTATTTTACTCCAGTTCTAAATCCGCTCCGGTTCAAATCTCAGCGCTCTAATTTATGCCGCTACAGCCGTGGCAGCTCACTTAATATCCAGAGCCGTTTCTCCTGGCCACGTCGTGGGCTATGGGGAGTGAGGATCCTTACAAGGAGCAGGAGCAGGAGCAGGAGCGGATTCTGGAGCGGCAGAAAGGCGGCGACAAAGTGACAAACAACTAAGCGAAAATCGCGTGCGTGACGCGTGGCAGGAGCATAAAGTTTGTGACACGTTTCCCCAGTTGCATTTTGTTTTTATTTTCGCCTCGAAGCGAGTCCTTGCGCCAAGGAGCAAAGAGGTTCGCAGCAAATGGTGATGGTGATGGTGACACTTTACAGCCGCGTTGCATACTTTCGGGCGTTATGCAAGTCACGTTAATTCCGCCAGCCAACTGTGAAGGCAAAACAAAAATAAAATCGGCAACAACCGAGTACGGAGTGTCGGTGAAACTTTTGCCATTTTCAAAGGGTCTTAAAAGGTGGACGAGGCAAATCAAAACGCTCCCCATACTTATACACTGCGAGTAGTAGGTATGCTTCCTATTTGTTGGCCTTCTGCTAGAAATTATGACCACCCAACCACTTTTTGGCGCCGTGGCGTTGGGGAACTCATTAGGCGTGTTTATATTATATAAATTAGCTTAATTTGAAAACATTTTTTGATGCCAAAACTTTGCCTGTCTTTTCATTGGCGAGAAGATGCTCAAAGCGGCAAGGAGCTGGCGGGAAAAGCTGGTGGGAGGGCAAACTTCTGTCTCGGCTAATTTATATGCCCGTTGGACATTCTCGCGTTGGCCAAAAAGTTGCCGCCAAGTTGCTCGTCTCCTGTTGCGGGTTAATAAGACGACGACCAACAAATTGCCAACATTACTCTTCTCCGGCAGCAGCAGAAGGGTAAAGTGATAGGGGGTGATAGGGGGGGTTGCAAATAGACTTTTGAGTGTTGTACTTGGTTTTGCCTCGCCAGAAGGCTGTCTTGCCGTCTTTTGTCCTGTTTACTCTTTTGGGCTTCGGCCGCCGATTCACTCTGTGCAAGTGTCAAAAGCGCAGGCAATTAATTTGGCCTAATTAGACTCTTGGCTGGCTGCTTGCCCGCTTCACTGGCTTCCATTCGCCCTTCCTAAGAAACTGCAGATTTTGTGGCTTTTCAGTCTGTTACAGCCACAAAGGATTTTCGGCCTGTTGAGCGATTTATGGCTTAATAGAAAGGACATATTTAAGGCAAGTTTGCGGCAGGGAAGAAAGGGGTACATATCATGTGAAGCCTGCCAGCGGAGTATATTTTAAAATAATATATAGCCCCAAGCCAATTTTGTAAGCTAATGAGAAGGCAATTGCATCTCATCGAAGGAAAAATATTAAGAATTGCATTGCACGTTTAAAGCCGAGCTTAATAGTAAATAGGCGGCGGAAAAGATGATTACAGGAAAGATAAAAATGCACAAATAATTTAATCCTTAATGCATAATATACATATATTTTAATACCAAAGGAAAAGGCTCCAATTTTCTTTACAACTTAAATAATTATAAAAACCCGTTGTTAGCTGCATTTAACTGCTTTAAAGCCCTTCCTTCCAGAAATTATATCATGGAGTACAGAATACAGACAACTCGAACTGAAACAGTTTCCACTGCCTCTGTGCCAGGCCATAATTTGCTTAACAACTTTTGCCAATAGTTGTCCCGCCTCTTTTCCGATTGCCCCGCCCACATTTTCCTGCACTTTTTCAGATTCTCCGTTCTCCGTTTTGGCTGTGGGCCAATTTCTTCGGCGCCATTCGACACTGGCCGCTTATATAATAATTTTTCAGCATAATTTATGGGCGGCAAAAGTTTTCTGTGGCTGCCCAGTCGAACAATTGCCACTATAATGTTGTGGGCTCTCTAGCATTTCTCATATTATTCGAGCCAAAAAATGTTTGCTGCTCCGTCCAGGCGTGAACTATGCGGTCCAGCATCCGCATCCTTCCACTTTCCCCCTCTCTCCATCCCCCTCCGTGCTGCCATAAATTCATGGGGCTCCGCTTATCGAAAGGAGGACATGGAAAACAGGACCCGATCGGAGCGAATGGCATAGCAAGCGTCAAAATTGATTTTAAATTGCATTCTTCGTTTAGCATTTCACTAAACAATGCCATAAATTGGGGCAATAGAATGGTTAATATAATAGATTGGCGAAGCCAATTCGAATGTTCAGAATTGAATGGATACCGCAACCTGGAACAGGATGTACTTAAAGTGGAGATATTGCGAGACTTAATTTTTATTTTTATGTTGGGTTGTTTTGGGACAAGGACGTTTAGTATTCGGAAGAATATATATTATTTTGAATGAATAAATCAATTATTAGCATATAGCATATTATATCATATCATATCATATCATATCTATCCTATCATCACTAAGAAATTTAAAGACGACTGATCAGCTTGGCACTTTAATAAAAGTATTATGTAAATTTAAACCCATAAATTTTACACCCACTTAAGTCGCATGAGAGTTAAGATTCAACAGGTGGTAAAAATTGCTCAAGCTCTTGCAAATCTGACCGATAGCCAAGTGTTAATATTCCACCCGCATTTTTATTTTTGCAACTGATAAGAGGTGTTTATTGGTTTTGAAATCGGAGACAACGCGACGCGGCTTATCATTCAAGTGCAGAGCGGGTTTGCCTGGCGAAATGTTCAGCTACAGCCATCTCTAAGCAAGCAAAGATAAAAAGTGATCATTGCGGTGGCCCTGTGACTCACTTGAGATACAGATACACCGGAGAGCTGAAGATATTGGAAAAAGCTCAAGAAATGTCATGTGAGCCACCAAAACAGAAACTTCATAGTGCGAGAGTGAAACAGCACGGTTCTGAGAAGAAACGTAAAAATGCTCGGAGTTGATATTTTAAGATAAATAGTCAATTACACTGCCAGAAATTTGGATGCTCGTTTCTCTGTATATTCGATTTGTAGACATTGTTTTTAAGACTCTTAAGATATTTTTAGATAACGTGTCATATATTTGGGAAATATTTTTTTAATTCATATTTATATGTATTTATATTTAGTATAATCGATATTATATATTATTCCCTAAAATTGTGTTAGGTTCTTATTTCCGTTTTCTATTTTCGAAGAAGTTGGCTGACTTGTTTGTTGCTGACTTTTTGGTTGCTATCGTAACCGTTGTTGTGCTTCGTCATTAGGTTATTGGGTTTTAAAATGAAATAAATAAATAAATGTTCACGAAATTTTAACCAGACTGAAAACAATATTTAAAGATCATACATTGAAACTAATTGCTAAACTAATCAATTCGTTCTAGTATTACAAATTATCGAATGGTGTGATTTTGCTAATAATTTGAAGCCGATCTTGCCCTGTTTTTCTGAGTGTGCGAGCGGAAAGCTCGGCAACAGGTGAGCTTGCTGAGCGGACCGATTGGCAGTGGAACGCGACTGAGCGCGCCTTTGAGCCGAGCTTTTCGCTCTGAGCCAAGTGAGTTTTTTCTTGCTTTCTACCGTACGTGTGTGTGGCTTTTTGTGGCTGTTTTTTGTTGCTGGGCGCGGCAGCAGCAGTTCGACGTGAACTCGCGAGCGGCCAACACGTAAGCGGCGCGTTGTGCAGCTGGTTAAAAAACTCGGCAGAAAAATACAAAAAAAAAAAAAACAAACACCAACAACAACAGCAACAGCAACCAACTCGATAATAGGCAGCGGCGCAACTGAAGTGTGAATTCATATTGAGGTTATGTAACGAGATATAGTACAAAAAAGGCGAAAACAAAACGCACTAGCTGCATTAGTCAGGTCGCACGCTCACCTGGAAAATTCAGATAATTCCCAGCACGCGCTTCGTTTCGGGCTTACTACGCATTCGCAATGGAGGAGGCAAAAGCTCCAGCGCAGGCGCAAAGCCATCCTTTGGAGGATGTGGCCCTCAATGGGAACGCCGACGACAAGCAGACGCCCAAAAATTGGGTTAAATTCGACGACGAGGCGGACAGCGGTGAAAAAAACAATAACAGTAACGACGGCGATGCCACACAGCAGCAGCAGCAGCAACAACAAAACAAGTTAACTCTGCCGCCACCGCCGTCGGTGGTTAGTAGCAACAACAACAGGCGGGCGCGCTCGCGCAGTCCGTCCGCTGCGGCAGCAACAACAACAACCACACCTGTCCAGGTAACTCGCCACTCTCTCTTTCTTCGCATCTCTCGCTCTCCCGCTTACTCCCCAGCGCCCCTCTCGCTCACGCAACGAAACGCATTCCAATGCAAGTCAGGCCCTTGCCGGCCCTCTCGCTCGCACACCCGTTTGGCGGTACAGCAAACACTCGAATAACTGAAATGCGCTGGTTGCAACTCAAAATAGGGTAATTTAACATTTTGGTTTAATTTAAACGAAGAGCAAGAAAATAGGTGACGACAAAATTTTAGGATTTTTTAACTTCATATCGTAGACTAAATGGGCGTAGGTTGTTTTGGGTCATATCGTATAATGAAGTGCAGATGTTCCAGCTGGCATAGAGTCAAATTATTCAAATTACAATTGTAGTTAGTCGATATGCTTCAAATTGGTTGCTATTCATAGTTTTTTATTAATTATATTCACAAATTTGTTTACGTTTGAGTTAGGCAACATCACAGATTCTATAACACATTGATCGATAATAATATTTGCAATTGTTACTTTTGTTGCCTTGTTAAATAGTTTACAGTGAAATCAGATTCCTCCTGTTTCCCTCCGTCAGAACTTGAGAAAGCGCGTATATCAAGTCCCCACTGTTATTTCCCTGAAGCCGCCTAATGGAGTTGTTGTGTGAAGTGGTTCGGGTTCTTAACTTTCTTCTGCTTGATTTTGGGAACGTTGCACGCATGACAAATGAAGTTGGGGGCCCAGCTGAGACTTGGAGCTGAAACGGGTCCCATCCGGTGATAAACTCTGACTCAACCTACCTTTACATGGGATGCCTTCATTCTCAGTGGCCTTTGCAAAGAAGTAAACAGCAGATTCTTTCGAAAGTATACTTTCTGATTCAGTTGTTCCACTGTTACAATTGGCATAGCTCAGCTGGAGTTATTTGATTAAATTCGCATCTTTATTTTGCTTTTTATTTAGATTACTCTTACTGCGGTAGTATGTCAACAGAATGTGTACAGCAATTGTTAAAATATTTTCGCTGCCATGCTGGTTATTTGCTTTCTGGCCGTAAATATTTATCATTTATCTTTTTATATCTCATTTCGCTCGTTTCGATGCTTGTCAACAGTCTGGGAACTTCAATTACTTTGCGCAGCCCTGACACTCTCATTTCAAAATTGTTTATATTGCGATAGAATTTCAGCTTGTTGCTCTTGGATTTAATAAGATACATGATTAAAGACGGCTTGGAATTTAATAATTTCAAGGATCTTGTTTTTTTTAGTTTAAGATTGCAAGCAACTGTCTTTTGACTGCTACCTCGCTAATAGTTAGCAATGTTGTACCAACGTATCTTTTGTTTTCAAGTTTAGCCAAGATTATCAGAAGTTTTATGGCTTGCCTACCTAATAGTAAATATGAAATTACCGAACATAATCTTTGTTTGGATTGTTTATCGGACGAGATAGAATCCCGAGTGGAATCCCAAAAAAGCTGTGTGCTGTTGCAATTATAAAACAATACGAATTTCTATCTAGAGAGATTTGATACTACGTAGAGCAAGGTCAGAGTTTACTAAGAGCTGCACAAAAACCAATAAATCGCATTTGGCTTTTCAATAACAGGCCTTTTGAAGGCGGATTGCCTTCAGAAATCCGTTTTTGTCAACCGAGAACGTGCCCTGCCCCGAATTGCTTTCAGTCTTATTTCTAGCAATTGAATGCGAACTTATAGCTGCAATTTGAGACTTCAGGCATTTTAAAGACTGACTAAAATCAATAAAATTGATTTTGCTTGACCATTTGCATAATTTTCATGGTGGCTGGCCAGCGTTTGACCCTTGGGCCATTGTCGTCTTAAGGGCAAGACCAAACTAACCCCTGCTAACGCCTACTTGTTTGCCACTCCCCAGCGCACGGCAGTTTCCTCGACCACAGCTGCGACACCGGGCGAAGTGCAGGCCCAGTCATCTCCGCCGGATGTGGCGCCCGCTGTTTTGACAACCGAGAGCACGCACGTTAATCTGAGTGCATCCGGCAGTGGCATCGTCAGCGGAGCAAGTGCGAGTGCAAGTGCCAGTGGATACGCAGCTGGCCCAGTGCGCCATACTCCGCAGCTAATAAACCAAAAAGCCGCCGCTGCGCCCTCTCCCTCGTCCGCTGGGGCGGCGTCCTCCAGCCACCAGCACAATGGAGGTGGCGCCAACGGAACTGGTATTAGCCAGCCGGCGGACCAGGGATCCGGGATGCGCACAATCGAGTTGTCAACGGGTCGCATACGCGAGGGATTCGGTGAGTGATTGACAGGACATTTGGGACCATCTGTTCCCACTATCCAAAAATGGCGTAATTAATTCATTGGTTATTGATTCCTACTTGGTTACATTACAAAAATTAATTTTAACGACAAATATGATGTCAACTTTTGGTAAAGTTATACAGTTTCCTTTAAATTGACACATGAACTTTGAAGGACAAATTTTGAACTTCTTAAGAAGCCTCTTTAAATTGGATTGCTTCTTTACTAGGTTCCTTTCCTATTATCTCATTTTAACTGGTGCAGTAACCTTATCAATTTCGAGCTATGAACAAATTACATTCGCTTCTTGAAAGCTTCTTAATATAGTTGACCTCTAATTTAAATGTTACCCCATAGCAAATGGCGATGTCATCGTCACACTTCTGCCGGCCAACACGAAGTGGCCCTGGATAACCCCTGCCATATTCCGTCCGGAGCTGGTGCCCGAGGAGCTGATGGCTCAAGGCCTGACGGTAAGTGTGGCTCAAAGTGCTTACTGCGAAATAGCTGAAACTAAGTGAACATTTTGCAGCTCACGGTGGAGGACTATGTGAACGCGATGGAGACTCTGGTGAACGACTACCGCTTTACCGTGTACAACATCTGCTACAAGCGCATCCTGGTCTGCTGGATCCTGTTCGCCTTTACGGTGCTGCTGGCCCTGCTCTTCTCCGGACTGCAGGGCGTGGCCCTGTTCGCCCTGGGCGTGGGTTGGCTCTTCCTGAACGCGGCGGCCATCTTCCTGTGCATGTGGGTGAAGCTGCGCCTGTCGCGTGGCCTGGAAAAGTGCCTGGCCCGCGTGAACCGGCAGCTGATGCGCCACAAGATCCTGCTGGTGCTGGACGACCGGGGTCGCATCTCGTGCCACAAGGTCAACCTGTGCTTCATGTACTTTGATGCGACGCAGTGCGTAAATTTCCTGAACGAGTTCCTGGAGCACACGGAGCAAACTGGAGGCGATGCCATCAAGGCGGGCTGGGAGGCGAAGCTGGACATTGACCTCGAGGACATCGTTATCCAGGGCAGTCAACCGGTGCGAGTGCCCCGCAAGCAGGTGAGCAGGAACTTTACGTTACCTAGCGGAGGGGGTTGTTCCTAAGTAGGGGTAGTTGACTTCATCTCCATCTCCCGGGATCGCACTCGCAGCCCAACCTTACACGTCTTTCTCTCACTCACGCCCCTCATGATCCAAATGTCCAACTACTCTCTTTAGGCCGTGGCCCAGGAGCTGTTTCTGAGCTACCTGCAGCGCTGGGGCAAGGACTTTCTGCGCCGCCGTCTGGATTGGACCGTCCAGGAGGCCGGCGTCCACGAGACGCCCCGCCATCTGCAGTCGTCCATCTGTCCGTGCCAGTACGAGGAGGAGTTGTTGCGCAACAAGATCAAGATCAGCCTGCAGCACCGCCACTGCTGCGGCATCAACTGCATGGGCTGCTGGCTCTAATCCCTGACATGTAATCCTCACAAATGTTTCGTTTCTTAGATTGCCGAGAATCTATTAAATGCTTAGCCAAAAATGTGAAAACGGTTATTTTATTACCAATATTTCCTTTGATCGCAGTATCTTCTTTTTTCCAGTAAAAGTAAACTAATCTAGAAAGTATTTAATAATTTGTAACTTGAACTAAATCTTCAATTATGTTTATATCTTTTGTTTGCTAAGACATGTTCATGAAGTTTCGTTTCCCAAGTATATTTTCAAATAATTGATTAATAGAATGGATAGGTAGAAGTATCAAGTTTTTGAATAAGTTATTTAAGTTTGTTTTAAATAGGTTTTGCACGTTTAGCAACAGTATTAACTACTACAAATATAGGCACATATTTGCAGAAGCCACGAAGAGATACGCGAATATTTTATTAATAATATTAACAGTAAAGGCCTGCTAAATTATGTAAATCAGTTTTTGTATGTATTGTATCTAAAGTTAAGCCTATTGCATTTGAATCCCATTGTATCTTATGCATTGTATGTACTACCTACGTATGAAGTTTGTGTAATTTGAAATTCCAGCTGCTGCCGGAAAGTATGCAGCACCCTTAGAGTGTAGTTCCGTCGTACTAACCTCATGCCTCATGCAATCATCATCGACCACGTTCCTAACCCAACTCACCAGCACCATCCACATGCACCCAGCCCTATCTGTTTACCCCGTGTCTCACCACCCGATCTCCCCGAATCTCCGCAGGAGCGCGGCATGCAGCTGTTCCTGCGCTACGGATCCCGATGGGGCATGGAGGCCCTGAGGGGCCTGGTGGACGTGACCCCCTTGGAGCCGGGACGCCACTGCGGACAGTTCCAGTGCCCCTGCCAGTACATCAAAGAGCACCTGCAGTGCAAACCGCGAGGCAAGTTCAAGTGTTGCAATTTAGTGCATTGGGTGATGGCATCTGAACGCTACGATATCGATAATTGAAACTTGTTGTTCTTGTGAATGTCTGTGTCCTGTAACTAAAAGAATTTACTGAGAGGCTTTATTTGGAACCCATGAATTTATATAATCTGCTATAATCGCGGCGGAAGAATAATAACAATATGCTACCTGGAAAAACGTCCTACTTTTCCGCCTCTTATGCCAATGATCGACTCTCTTTCGTTTCAGATGTTAGTCCCTAGGGCTGAGACAAAATTTTGGGGGTCCTTGGCAGCTCTCCCTTTATTTCCTTCTATAATCTATATTCTTCCTTCTATGCCTAATTATATGTGTGCTACATTAACCCTGCAGATATTTCTAAATTTTTGATCAACCATGTTCTTTTCATGCTTCCAAAATTGTACACAAAACAGTTGCAATAAACAGCATTGGCCAAGTAGTTTGGACCCGATTCCCCTTGTTTGGTGGCTAGAGAGTTAGCTGTTTGTTGGCCACAATAATACACAAGCACCCCACGATTTCACACAGAAATACTAAGCCGTTTCGATAATAATATTTCAAAAAGATTGCGCTGCATATTATATATTATATATATTAATCAAGCGAATGAATTTCTAACATAAGCCCTGTATAAATTGCCTTTATGAAGTACTTTTAACTTGTTGGTGTCACAAATAAATGTCAAATATACATGTACAGATATATATGCATAATTATTTGTCAGTCTTTAATTAACAGCCATCCGTTGCCTAATGACTCTATATGTTAACTTTCGTTGAACGCCTCTTACAGGTTATCCATGTGGTTGCATTGTCTATGGTTCGGATCCCAGTTTTCAGTATCGTTACTAGATATGTTGTGCCTCATTTTATCATTTAACCCGACTATCGGAACTCAGTGTGTGTTCAAATTGTGCAGTTCTTAAATTGAATGTTTTGTAAGGTATTCCAAATAAATAAAGAGTTCTTCCGCATTTTTAGTTTTCCTGCAAAACGTAATAATTGCCGAGACGGCACAAATTTGTATGTAGACTACGAGACTAAACTAAATGCACATAAATGTAGGTAAATATTTCCAAATAAAATAATTATTAAAGTGAGTTTAAAATATTGGCATTTTAAATATCAAAAAAGTTTTACTCAAGCCAAGGACTTATGTTTATGACTTGCAACTGTTCACATGTGAGGCTCCTATATCTCATTTTCTGCCCCATATATCGGGCTTTGTGGGCCATGTGCCAGCTTAACTATTATTGCATTATTTTTATTGCATAATTCAACTTAATGTTTTGCCGCATTTTAGCCACATTCGCGTTCCACAAATTGTGGCAAAACTTTTGCCGTTGCCAGAATCGCCCATTTGGTGGTGTTGCATGTGTAATGAGTCATTAACACATTGCCGCATTCGGGACATTCCATTTTAATACCCGTCGGCCACTTAAATGCCTTAATTTTAATGACATCTCTGCATTCAAATTAGGTGCGAGGCGATTGTATCTATGCTAAATGCAGATTCTCAGAATTCCCCCGATTGCGGGCTTTTTTTTGCATAGTGGTAAGTATAGTTTTTAGGGCGATTTGGGAAAGTACGGGAAATACACTTAACCGGCAGCAGGGCCCTTGCGAAGCCAACAAAATTAAAAACAAAACACGATTTCACGCTCCAATAAAACAAATTTAAACTCTTGCGGCAGAGGCGGCGTGTGGCCAGAATGCGCCATTAAATTCCCCCCGAGAGCCGCCCTCCAGACCAAAAACCGAAAAACCCGAATCCGAACCCATAACCAAAAACCAAAAACCCAAGCCCATTTGCCGTGAAACTCTCGAGCAACTCGTTGGCCCAACTGCACTCCAATCGACAGCGAGTCAAAAGAAGTGCAGCCCGTGGCCAAAGGCATTCTGGCACCAGGGGCGCGTAAACTAATCGCAAACAAACACACAAGCAAACAAACAAACAAACAAACGAACGAACAAGCAACACAGCCAAACGAACAAACACTCGCACCCACACACAATCATTACGCTTATTGCAAAAAACCAGATCCTAGGCTCATCAAAGTTTCGACGGCGAGGCGGTTGGTGCTGCTGCTGCATTTTTCGGAAATTCAATTCATTTGTGTAATTTTCATTTGAATTACAGCCATCAAGAGTGCCATGGCAGAGGAGGGGCGCCCAATCCGGTGGGCGTGGCAAGCGCTGATGGCCCGCACTTTGAGCGGTTTTCACGGAGGAATGCGAATCTGCTTCCCCTAACTAAGTCAAATGCAGTTTCTGTTGGATTGTTGAAATGTTCATTGTTGCTAACGCAAATACATAAGACTGCATTTTTAAAGGCTAATATGGGGCTTAATTTATTATAAAATCCGTATTCTTAGACGTAATTATAGCAGTTGAAAGTTGGTAAAATTCAAAAAAATATTGCTGTTATTAAAATAAAAATGTATAATGCTACTGCTGAAATTTCTAAATTAATAAATTAAATAACAAAAATCTATTACACAGAATTCAACCAAGATAAAGATTTTTTGACTGATCCGTAAGCCAATCGTCATTGTATTGAACAACTGAAGAGTAAGAGTATTCAACCATCGGGCAGATATTTTTGGGTGTTTCCAAATCCTTGTTATTTTTGTTTTGTTTTCTGTTTGTTGTATTCGAGTATTTTTTCCTCCTGTCGACGCTGCCGTCGTCGTTTTTGCATTTATTTTGCGGCTAAAACTTTAATTGAGTTTTAAACCATTTTGCCGGTCCGCCCCGATCTCCGCAAGCGCTTTCACTGCGTCCGGATTGTTTATGTGGATTTTTTGGTGCCCAGACTGGGCGGGGCGAAAGGGGGCATGGCCCAGCCTTTGAGTGATGAGTTTGGGTTGCAAATGTTTTTCTTTTGGCTTTTTTTCGGGGTGCCTTGCATTTCTTTTCAGCCTCTCAGGGATGCCAGGGGATGCATTGCTTTGCCAACACTTTAATTTTCACATTTTTATTTGTTAGTTTCAGTTTTTCAGTTTTCCGCCCAGTTTGCATTTGAAGAGCGGGATGTTTTAAAATATTCTACTGCTGAGGGGTGAAAGCACCTGTTTAGTTAAGCATAAGATTCGTTTCAAAATCAACTGCGTGGTTGTGAAAAAGTAATTAAACAATTTTGCGCACCATTTATAACTAACTTTGGGCATAATTATTAATTTCGCGCAACAAAACCTTTTTAAATGAACTAATATGCAGAGCTAGAAAACTAGTTTTTTCCTTTTTCTGTCAAACTAGTTGAAATATATGCTAACGAAGTTAAATAATCAGTGTAAAGGGTTTAAAAGCCCATATTTATCATTTTTTACGGCCGGGTCTGTGATCTCGAATTTTCCCATTTATTTTCGAATGATACTGGGCTATCCTGTATGCAAACCATTAACAATATTTGTGAGTCCCACACTGGTGTGTATGCATTTACACCTCTAATAAATATGGCATTAAATCCATTTTGACAACAGGCACCGGTGCGATAGCGAAAAGGAGGGCCGGGCCCATCTATCATCATAAAAATAAACCGGACAGAGACCAACAGGAACGTGCTGTCTGCCCCTTTGGGCGCAGTGGTTATAAAACATTAAACATGAAATCGCTGGTGGATCGCGGATGCAAGGAGGCCCAGGAGCGAGCGCACCGAACTGTTAGGCTCCCTGGGCCACAATCAACATCATTAACGCGTGCTCTAAAAGCCATTTATTTAGTGGCCAATGCGGACGGGCTGAGCCATGTTAAAAATGCTCAAAGGCTTGGGCATCCAGTGTGAGAGTGGGAAACTATAAATTCAACGCTTTTAGCATAATTGCCGGCGCATGTGCGTGTCGCTCCAGAGTCTCGAGCGTTGTGAGCGTTATGATAAGTGGTCGCCCAAGGATGCAAGCGTCAACACTGGCGAACGCTGTGTTATGCCCACCATCCGGTCATTACTCGCCCGAATCCAGCTCTTGTTGGCTTACTACTCATATTGCCGGCAGTGGTAATTGCCATCCTTCTGCGGAGCCAGACCTTTGTCAAAATATTATACAGCTTAATAGACTCGGGCGGCCAAGAGGATGGCGGGCTGCTCTTTAACCCTTCTGTGGCATAAAAACACTCGAGAGCTGCCAGCCACTAACACTGGATATTTATCGCTTGTCTAATCGAAGCAAATCAGGTCAAAGTGGCCGGGCGGGGTAGCGGGGAAACGGGCTCAATGGGGCGTATGCTTGATTTATGCGTTTCAGGTCTGACTTAATTGCCGCAAATATGCGTGCAGGCCTAGTGATAATAAACACAGCTCTGGGAAGATGGATGTGAGGGCGAATTGACTGAAACTGGTGTTATATTTCTCTGCATTTTCTTTTATTGGAGGCTTGCTGCTGGCGCGTTAATTAGCATACATTGAATTATTACTTGTAGAACTCATTTTTGTATAAAAATTTGTTTAAGAAAACTTGGACATTAAGCAATTAAAGCCGCACCGGATTTTGACTGTGTCTAGTCAGAACGGTGGGCTCATCCCAGTGAGTCCCGTATGCCCACCTGTCTGGGCCAACAAGTGAGCATCCTGAAAAGGCAAACAAACACATGGCCATTTGCAGTCACGTACACGCTCAGAAAAATGTCGTCGACATTTGCACCTCCTTGGCCATTTTTGCTCTAGCCATTTGTGCAGCTGGCAGCGCTTATGTTGACGCAGATTTAATTACAATGTTGGTGCTTCGTTCACGTTTATGCCACTGCAACTTGGACTGCAGAGTCGTCCTTGTTATGGGAGCATGTGTAAACAGCACCTGGCAGGAGTGCGATGGTGTGGGGAATGCCCTCTGGCAGGGAGTAGTAGCTGCCGCCATTGTTTAACAACAAATACCCTGAGCGCCGAGGAGCCCCATATATGTGACTGACTTCGCCATATTCAGGTCTTTCTGGTCCTGCCGACTGGTGCTACTTTTATGCACTTTACAAATTGAATTTTCCACTTGCATTCGTACATTCGCAGAAGCCACGCGGAAGACAAGAGAGACCGAGTAACTCTGATAACTTTGTTACCCACTCCTTTTTAGCTGCCCTTTGCAGTTTATATGTCCAGGTGCTTGAAATTGTATTTCTGTCTTCAATGTAAATTTAACATTCAATTAGTAGATGTGTTAGCAATTTGGAAATTTATTAACACATAAATTGGCTGAACATAACATAGTAAAAAATCATCATAAATTTGCTGTATATTATTTTTTGAAAGACTTAAAAAAGTAAAATCTGTAAAGAATGCTGAGGCACTTTTATGGCAGCGTAAGTTACTCCTTACAGCAAAATTGCATCGCTCATACGCACTGTGAACCACAAAGCCGGTGGAAGAGATGAAAATGACGAAAATGCATCGATGTTCCATTCAGCCACTGCTAATTGCTTGGAAATTTCGCTCATTTCCACACCAAGTCATTTCAATGGCAGCCGCAACATTTCAACAGAGGCAGCTGCAACAATCCTATAAGCAAGCTGCAACATAAACGAAAAAAGGAGGAAAAATCGGTTTGGCCTGGTTTCAAATAGAGGCTACGTATGTGTAGGCATTTACTCTCGTTTTCTTTCATTGTCTCTTTGCTTTGCTTTTATCCATTATATTTCACTCGGTTTTTGTTCTTTTCTTGAATTACTGCATATGGGGGCAATTAGGCTCTCTTCAAGGAGTGGCCTAATTGCCAGGCACCGTTTTTAAATGGTAATTAAATAATCATTTTGCAAGCATTTTAAGACGTTTAGATCTAAGCCAAACCAATCCATGCTGGTGATATCCAATATAAATATCGACTAGTATTACCTTATCCGTTTTGAATCCACCCCTGTGTTCAACAGCTGCATTTCATATTGTTCTTCTGCTTGGTTACTTGCGGAAAATTGCAAGGTTGTCTGTTAGCCAGGTCCTGGATAAAAAAAAAACCAAACGATACCGGATGTTGTTTTGTCCTTGAGGGGGAACTTTAGTAACATTGGATGGGCTTGTTTTTGGGCTTTATTTTTGCTGTAAACTTTTGCGTACATTTACATACAAATATGTCACATAGATATGCCACTTATTCACATATATAGAGCTCCATACATATATAATAAGTTATAACTAACTTAGACGTTAGGTATAATATTCCGACTTCATATTTAAGTATTCTGAGCTTCTTAAGTAGGCTTAAATAAATAGGTCTCACCATCATTTTCAACTGCAAAGTTTTTCTGCTTGTATTTCTTGCGGTTCTACCTCTAAAGATATATATTTTATTTATTTAACGCGTTAACATTCATTTCAACTTGTATATGATAGTATGGTTTAATTATTTACAATGGAAACTTAAGCGCAATTTATATTTTTTATTAAATTCTTTGGATAGGGTCAGGTAAGCCCTATGAGCCCTAAATGAAAATATGTGTATAGTTGCACATATAGTATTCTTCATATATACAGCGAAGTTTCAATGAATTCATATAATACTCTTTTTGCACCATTGAAATATTTACAATTAAAGGGAGTGTACGAAGGCTTTAATTCAGTTCTCTACAACAAAAAAATAAAATTAAGGTCAATGTCGTATTCATGGAGCTTTTTATTTATTACATGCTTCGTTTGCTCATTAAGTTAAACAAATTGAATGCAATGCAACCCAAATTAATTGAATAAGCATATTGTTGACAGCTGCATTTTGGGACAAAAAATGGCTAAAACAATTTCAATTGTCTGTTAGGTATCAACACTAAATCCAATAAATTACTTAATATAACACTTTTTTGTTTTACCTATAGGTTCCCATTTCTTAGTTTATTCTTATTTGCTTTTGTAATTCTGCTAAATTTACTATGTAAATTCGCTATGTATGTGTATGCGTAAATACTTTCATCTAAATGCAAATTTGATTAACCGTATTTCCGTTTTTTTGCCATTCCAGTTTTGCATTTTTTTGGTGATTTTAATTAATTTATTTTCTTTTAATTGGCTTATACATAATGAAACATTTTAACTTTGCTGTGTGTTGTGAACAAAAACCATAATGATCTCTAATCGTTTTGAAAATGAATTGTGACAAATTAAATGAAGATATATAATATTTCCCGATTTAATAATATAACTTTATTCATATGGAACCATAAAAATTATGATTAAATGCTCTAATATTTTGTAATAAAATATAATTGTTTTTCCATACATTCATTAAAGGAATAGGTACACTTAATTTTGATAGACTTCCGATTAGTTCAAAAGCCCCATCAGTTGCCGAATGTACGACTTAGCCATCATTATCTGCTGCACGTCAGCTGTCACATCTGGCCAGCTCGTCCCTAGCTTGATTTTCATTTTACGCTCTAGTATAAACATATCTATATCTGAATCCCAACCACTGCAGTTGTCTGGACCGCGCTTTCATCCCACTTCGTCCTGGTCCTAGTCTGGCCAAGGTTTGATTTCGTTCTTCAAGCTGCTTGTGCCCCAAATGAGTTTCTTTTTGCGTTTGCAATTATTTGATTTCATCTTGAGAACATCCGGGAGCAGAGCATTTCGAGAGTACTTGGCCTGGCGGGGGTGGCATTTTTGGCGACAACCTTATTACCACGGTTGCCCCAAAATGTGCACATTAAATGTTGCCTATGCGTCGCGCTAATAGAAAATGTTCCGATGTGCCGGCCGATAAAATGCAGCAACATTGGCAGCCACCGAACAAAACATCCAGCCAATATTACTATGCAAATGAGCATTGGCCACTGCCATTGATGTTGCCACTTCCACTGCCACTGCCACTGCCACTGCCACAGCTTTTGCCATTGCCATTGGCGTTCGCATAGGCGTCGGTATTGCGTTGACGCGCCACACGGCGTATGAGCAATGTGAAATATGCGCGAATGCCGCGCCCACATTGGTGGGCGTTCGGTAATGCGACTGTTGTTGTTCCCGTCTGCCACACAATGACTTCTGCTCTCCCAGCATTCAGCGGCGGCATCGCTGTTGACAACGGTCTCCGGTGAGCTCGGCCGAGTTTCCACATTACTCATACGCCACCGACTTGGGGCTGAGAGCAGCGATAACGTCGACAGCCAGAGAAAGCTCTGTCCCGCCGCCAGCGGCGAAGAGCTCGATAAACGTTTGAAAATCCCAAATGATTGCGTTTTAATGCCGAGCATTATTTTAGCAAGTAGATTATGCTGCGCCAGTGAGCCTGCAGAATTGTGGAATGCTCCGGGCGGATTACGCACGGGCGTTTGATTGTTATCGCCATTGTTTCCAGGATGGTTGCCTGCGGGTGAAAGGAGCGAGTGGGAAAGCATGTAGTAATCAGTTTTTTGGTTAGTGGGGTTTATGTTTTCATTTATTCTGTGCGTTCGGCGAACGCCAAATTGGCACTGGATAAATTATCATCACGGGGTCTGGTTTTGGGTTTTGGGTCAGGTCGTGCGGATATTGGAAGTGGTGGGGTGTGCCATCGGTTGGGGACATGGCTTTTGGGTGGCATTAAAGTAAATTGCTCTTTCCTGCCGGAAAGTGTGCTGTGCACTTAATAGTTCGATGGTTGTGTGCGAGGATTACTTTGTTGCTGGTTAAATCTTTGGATTTATGTCACTGACTGAAATCATCCATCGATTGCTTTTATTAGGAAGGCTCCGAGGGCCAAGTGAAATAAAATATTTGTCCTTAATGCTTCATTTGTATATACTCTACTTAATGTAAACGTGTTGAGCCAAGGACTTCATTCAGCTTGTTGACCCCTACAGTTGCCCTCTTCAGAGTTTTTTTATTAACACATATTCACCACATTCCGCCATTTTATAACGTCGTACTTCTTTACAACAGCAAGGCACTCGGACAGCGATTACTTGGCCATATTTCACCGTTCTTTGTCTGCCCTGTCCCAATTTACCACCCACTGTCTTCGGCTGATGGAGTGTCCTTGTGGCGTTTTCTGCTGCTGTTGGTTTTTATGCACGTCATTGAACGCACTTTGTTGACCGCACGTCAATGCCGGATATATCGCTATATATATGGTCAGGAACAGTGGTTGAGAACAGGCGAAATATGACAGTCGAAATCGGAGCTGCTTGCAAAGGAATAATGAGTGCCAGCTAAAAAATCATTCCCTAATTGGAGCCATCCATCATTATTCCACTTATTTTCAGCCCTTTCGCGTACAGTTTGTCCAATGCGGCCCACTGCCATGGGGAAGTTGATGGAACAGGACCCGCGGGGCTATTAAATATATTTTATCTGCTTTTAATCTTTGGCGTTCGACTTTTCGTCGGCTGACCCCATAAATAACCACAAAGTGGGCTTTAAGAGCGCATTCTCTTGACTCTGAATGGTTGGTTGACTGTGCGGCATGAGGCTATTGCCACAACAACAGTCGGAGTCATAAATATAAGCTGATAGATGGCAATGGGTTGGCAGGCCAAATGCGAAATTGAATTGTCTACAAAAAGCGTTGATATAAGCGTTGGGAATGGGATTCTAATGAAAGTGGGTTCTCTTTGAGAATATCTTGAAAATCATTATGTTAAGTGAGCAAAATAATTTCGACAAACCCACTGCAAAAGTGTTGCAAACGGAAATCCCCCGAGCTCCGACCCACATATGGAATGCATCATCACTCCGATTGTTTACCTTAAAGGTAAACTAAAAAGTGCCACATGTGCTCCCAGGCATTCGACTGATGTCAGCGGTATTTAGATTGACGTGGAATGGGGAATCCCGAGGTATCAGACAGTCAATGCCCGCATTTACGGTTGATTGAGAGCACGGCGAAAAGGTGTCAGCCTGACAGGCAGACGATTTTGATGGCATATTTCATTTGATGTGAGGCAATAAATATTTCCGTTTCGCCCGGTTTTCGTTTTTGTTTTGTCGCATCCTTTTTTTGCCTTTTGGCTCAGTCCCCGCATACCTTTTGTGATATTTTATTTATAAGCCGCGACGCGGAGAAATCAACGTCGAAACTGCCAATCGGCAATCAATCAACAAAAATCATTTCCCAATGGGATTTTGCCGCACATTTTTGCCAGCCGTTTGACTCGGACTCCGTTAAAAAAAATTTAGAACACCCGCACTATTTGTGCATTTCTACTTGCAGCATACAAGTAAAATCCATATTTCTCGCATCGCTGTACTTAATATACTTTTGTGGTCTTTTCGGTGTAGCACGTGAAACATTTCATATTTCAGCAAATGATTTTAATCGTTTTTCATCTCGTTTTTTCATTTTATATTGAATATATATAAATCTGCATCTCATTTCGTTTTGAACAAATATAAATTAAATTCCCGTTTTGCCAACTTCTTAATAATGTTTTCTTATTTAAAATGAATGGCTTTGGCTTTCGCTTTTCTTTCATAAATATCATAAATAGGAAACCCTTATCCAAAAATACTGAATAATACAAATTTTTCCAATTATAATCTACCCAGTAACTCAAAACTACAGCTACCTATTCTCCTACTGATTTTAAAACTCAGCATCTCCTGTTCGAGTGTCTTCATTGAGTTTTCCCAGACCCTTGAAGCACCCGAACTCCGATGTCGAATCAATAACGCCCCTGCAGGAGTAAGTCCCTGCTCCTCCTGCTCCTCCTACTCCTCATATCCATTTTCCGGGTTTCCCTTCCATCCATAGACTCTGTCATAATGAACAGACATTTTATCTGGATTTTTGCATTCTTCCCGCTTCTCTCTCTTTTTTGGGGCGCTTGCAACGCTCGAATGCCTTTGGAGCCCGAATGCCTCTGTAGCCAAAAAGAGCAGGGGCATGCCACGCCCCCTCTGAAGCGGTTTGGGCTTCAGTTCATTAGTGCAATCGGTTGAACGGCATTTTACGGACGCGTGCCTTAAATAATTGCATTTTAAATGCAACAGGCTCAGTCAGAAATATGCCCGAAAATAGGAAACCAGATTAATACCAGTCGGTCGTTGGCCCGGCCATTCAGCAAGGATTAATTCGGAGCAAAGGCAGGCAGCAGAAAATTTGAAAAGCCATTGTTTATGGCTAATTTAACTGCCTGCTGCGGTTGGTATAGCAGTTATCAGTTATCATCCGGGGGGCGTTTAGCCGCCAAATTTGATGGCCCATAAAACGAATGCAAGTGGACACATGTCCCGTCCACACCTCCGTTCAAAACATACGTTCGCAAATGCCAGATAAATGGCCAGCCAGATGAACCTTGTCGTTGACATGGCCAAAATGTCAGTGTCAATCAACAATGTCGCTAGTTTTTATTGCTTCTCTCCGCTTTTTGGCGTGGCTGGTGTCGCCCGTTGGCATTTTTATTGCTGCAAAATGTATCAGACTTGCAATGGAGGAGGTCAACATATCACAAACCACAAAATACTCGGCGTAAAATTTCTAACATGAAACATTTTATTACATTTATCTTGTATTTATCTTTCGAGGTTACGCGGTTGCGTGCATTTGCATAAGCCGGCTTTATATTCAATTTATATTGGCAAAATTTCCATGGAATAGTGAAGAAGTTAATATTCCATTTACTTTGAGCTCCTTTCTTAAAGAAAGCTAAAAGCCTTTATGGCCATTTAAAGTTGCCCTGTGTCTTGAGCCGTCTTTCTCTGTGCAAATTTCGAGTTCTTTGTTTGCCAAAACTATTGTGGCGTAAGCCCCATTTATTGCTTTTTCCGTCAATGCAATGGCTTATGGCACTACACAAGTCCAACATTTCGGCAGCAGAGAAGTGCAATTTGTACTTGCCACGGAATGCGGATGAATGAAAATAGCAACACGGCGGCGAGCTGTAAGCGTCTTTTCGCGAAGAACCAGGAAATTTAATTAATCTCCAACGTTTGTGCTAAACACTTGGCAATATTGTGCGCAGCCAAGTTTTCGGCCCCAGGAGAAAAGATTAAAATTATGAGATCACACGGCGACGCACTTGAAATGAAAGAAATGCCATAAAAGAAAAATGCAACCACGAGGGGCAACTTTGGCCTCGCAATGCGCAAATATAGTTGAATATGCAGCACGGTCCATAAAATGCCACTAAAGGAGAGATAGCCATGGAAAAGGTGATGGGGGTTGGAGATGCAGATGGAGATGGGTCTTTTGCAGCGGATGAAAGGCTGGAGGAGATGGAGATGTAGACATAGTACTTACCTTGGGCTCCGTCACGCCACTCCTCAACCCCATAATCAGGCAGAGCGTTAGCCGAGTCAAATTTATTTCTATGACGTCTCTTGCCATCTTTATATATTTTTTACACATTTTTAATTTTATGCAGCAAGCGTCAGTCGAGGAGGAGTATACAATATAGTTCAGGGAGAGATCGGGATAACGCGGTTGTCGGTTGTTGTCGGTTGTTGGTTCATGTTGTTGTTGGTTAGAGAAGGGCATAACATGAAAGAAATATTCAAATTAGGGAAGGTTTTGGGAAACAACGAAGAAAAAGGGAGATATAGAAACCATATAAAAAAGAATTTAGTAATAAACATTTACACAGATGCCATGGGTAATTGTATGCTAAGGTATTTCTATTTAATTTTGCATTTATTTGCATTTAATGGCCCTTTGAAGCGGCCAAACCGCCGTACACCAGCCATCAAAGGGGCTAAAAAACAAAAACTGAAATCGCATGCAATTTTTTGACTTGATGGAGCTTAAACGAGGTGGATGGATGAGGAATGGGGTGCGGTCTTATATGGTGTGCTTTCCACGATGGCTTGTGTTTTTCGGCTATTCGCGTTGATTACTGTAATTTCAGGATGTAGAGGACTCTTATCGCTTTTACTTAGCAAATCTATGATGTTTGTGAACCGAGGCATCGAAATTTAAAAACTAGCCCTATTACCAATTTTTAAAGATTTAAGAGCCTAGTATATAGGCTCACAAACTGATTTTTATGAAAATAAACAAAATATGATGTCCTTTGTTATTGTAGTCATGATTATCTGCCTTTTTGCAGCAATTTAATGTATTGTGCTGACTGTGATTTTGTGCTTTGCAGTGCATAAAATTAAAAACCCATTATATGGTGCTCTACAATTCATGACCAAGCAAAAAAAATGATGCTGCGATGCTTATGGTTGAAATTTAATCAATTAGGGAGTTGATCGAATGGCTGTGTACTGCACATAATGCGAATTTAAGTTTTTTTGCCACACTTGTTTGCTTTTAAAGCGTACAGCAAACTTTAACAAACGAAATGTACTTGATGGCCAATAGCGAAAATAAGTCTTACCATAGCTGCGGTTCAGCAAGGACATTTCTGAAATAATGGCTGTGGTTGGTGTCGGCATTTCTGTAAGCAGATGGATATATTCATTAGAAAAGTTAACTGCAGATGCAGCTGCAATATGGCAAAGGTGAAATATTTTCCCTTACCGTCCAGTTTTATATTCCCATCGGTTTCGCCCAGCGAATTCTTGGCCACGCAGCGATATGTGCCGAAATCGTTGGGTCCAACGGCACGGATTTTTAACTTCATGTACTTTGTGTAACCGCTGACGGTTGATGTGGTCTCGTATTTATCGCCGGCTCGCGAGGTGTCTGAAAGTGCGAGAAATGCGGGAAAACTGTCAGTCGTCAGCGGCGGTGGTCTTTTAAGTGACAATTTTCCAGCAATATTTTCCAGCGACATGGTTGGAAAACAAGTGTATGTATAGTATGTAAGTAGGGGAAAAAATCAATTAATTAATGTCACCTGCACGGGGTTGCCGTAGTTTTTGTTGTTTTCGCTGCTGGCCAAGTGCAGTGAAGTGAGTCGCTTCCTCAATCGGAGGACTCCAACTAATTACACCCAACCCCCCTTATAGAAACCAACACCCGACTCCTGCGCCGAATGTGTGATTGTGTGTGTGTAATTAAAACTGGCGCAGTTCTTCAGCCATTTCCATTGCCATCGCCAACTAAAACTTTTCTCATTAATCAGTGAAAATCTAAAAGAAAAACTTTTGTTCAGCTGCCGTCTGCGGCTTTAATTTCGTTCCATTTCGTTTCGTTTCATTTCGTATTGTGTTGCCTACTTTTTGGGGCCCGGCTATGAAAACGAGAACAAGTAGCTAGATGGCAGTAAGTAGCATTAAATATATAAACTTAATTTCACTTTGATTGCTTGGCGCATTGTAAGGCGATATCGCATGTTATCCATACGTCATGCTGTCCTTTGTCTATGCCATAGTGTGAGTGTGTGTATGGAGTGTTCTTGGGTTCCTGTGACAAATGTCTTTAGTTTCCCTGTTTTCTTTTTCGTCAGCCCCAAACAATGGGGAAAAACAATTTCCACATAGCGCCCAACTTGCATGTGACCCGCTCTTGCGACTTCTTTTTATAGCCCCAGTCACCTTTTGTGATACTTCTCCATCTCTCTGCATATGCCATGCCACAACTACGAGTATAGAGGCCCACATGTAAGACCCTCCGACACGCAAATATATAATTTTTCTCATAATCATCGGCGGCAGCAATTCTTTTCCCTGCCTGCCAAGTCTTTCCAGGAACTTTATACTTTTAATACCAGCCGCAGCGAAGGAAAGTTTCGGTTTCTTGAACTAAATGTAGAATTGCTTGTTCCGCAGACTAGCGCTCTTTACGTTTGTGATATATGGCATCTGCTGCAGACAGTTCAACGAGGGTAGCTCGTAAACATGTATGCTAGGGAATCGAAATTATTTTATTCCCAAAAGTATTCACATCTTTCACGGAGGGTCTTACTTAAAATGTACAGCTGAGTACATTTTTGCAGAAAAATATATAAAACTTTTAAATGGATTGTTTAGAAGAATTTAATAAAGAGAGTAAAAATGTTTTTATTTGTTACCCTTTTCACATAAAGGAAAAAATAACCATTTTCTTGCATTGCATTTGAAAATGTTATAAAAAGCATTCGCGTTCTTCTCTTCAAGCTACCCCATTTAGTACCTCTATTCATGATAGTTATATGGAAGCCAATGGAAAGGCGGTTAAAATTTATTACCCAAACTTTCGGTGGCTGTTGGCCATACATCATGAACGTGGCTTTCATATCTCGTATCTCGGTTCGCATTTTCCTCGCAATGACTTAGTTTTTCGCTTGTGCGTGTGTGCATATGAAATGTCATATATCCGAGTCGCCATTTCCTACCTGGGACAGCAAAAGCCCAGCCATAGATTTTCCTGTGCCTATCGAACAAACAAAGTGACATTTAAGCATAAAATGAAACCAAATGACAGTTCATCAAACGCTCGTCTATATATATAGCTCTATTTTTATGCATATGAGCTGCCACCAGTGAGTCATTTAGATTGGATTCCATTGAATTTCAGCCTTAAGGCAAGAGAACTAAATTAATTGGAAAACTATCATCGCAAAAAAAAACAATATTTAACATCACCCTTGATATTTTCCTTGCCACAGCATTCAAATTTATTCCATTTTAATTTATCAAGACTGCCATTAGTTCCGACATTCAATTCATGTTGCCTATTTGTATTTCCCTTTGGTATTTTAGCACACATGCAAATTTGTAATGTAAATGTGATTATGTTTAAATAATTTCCGCAACAAAATAATATTTTCTGACGTTTTCATTATCTCTATTCAATTTGTATTGTCTACCGATTTTGCGAGTATATTTTATTTCGGAATTGCTCATTTCCAATCCGCCAAATATGTTATTATTCAGTTTTGATAAGTTTACATTTTTCCCGCATTTAACATGAATTGAGCTTTGAGAGCCGTGAGTTTAATTAATTTTGTTTCAACGTATTGATTGTTATATCAAATTAAAGCTGGTGATATTTCGGTGAGCCTTTAAAGCGGAATATCCACATTTCAACTTTTGCTAGCTGATTCCTGATGAAATGATTTCAAATGATTTTTATACCCGTTACTCGTAGAGTAAATGTTGTAGAAATTCAAATAAATTAAGAAATGTCCTAAGGCTGAAGTTCTAAACTCCATAACTCAACTTATCTTGATCGGATTTTGAAGTGGCATACCTCTAAATGTTTCTGGGACAATTCTCTAAAAATCTGCATTCAAATTTAGAAATTGATTTTTTTTTAATTTTTTTGTAATTTTTTTGTAATTTTTTTTTGATGTGTGATGTTGTAGGAATTCCAAAAAATGTCCCAAGGCTGAACTTCTATACTCCATAACTCAACTTATCTTAGTCGGATTTTGAAGTGGCATACCTCTAAATGTTTGTGGGGCAATTCTCTAAAAATCTGCATTCAAATTTAGAAATTTATTTTTTTGAAATTTTTTTGTAATTTTTTTGATGCGTGATGTTGTAGGAATTCCAAAAAATGTCCCAAGGCTGAACTTCTATATTCCATAACTCAACCTATCTTAATCGGATTTTGAAGTGGCATACCTCTAAATGTTTGTGGGGCAATTCTCTAAAAATCTGCATTCAAAATTAAAAATTTATTTTTTTTTAATTTTTTTGTAATTTTTTTGATGTGTGATGTTGTAGGAATTCCAAAAAATGTCCCAAGGCTCAACCTATCTTAATCGGAATTTGAAGTGGCATACCTCTAAATGTTTCTGGCGCAATTCTCTAAAAATCTGCATTCAAATTTAGAAATTTATTTTTTTGAAATTTTTTTGTAATTTTTTTGATGTGTGATGTTGTAGGAATTCCAAAAAATGTCCCAAGGCTGAACTTCTATATTCCATAACTCAACTTATCTTAATCGGATTTTGAAGTGGCATACCCCTAAATATTTCTGGCGCAATTCTCTAAAAATCTCCATTCATCCAGACAATTTTTGATGTGTTGGTATTTTTTCACTTCTTTAAATACTTCTTCTTTTCAAAAACTTTTTGCCACGCCACGACTATAGCATTCTATCTTGTTTTAAGCTAGATTTTGATGTTAATGGCGTGAACAATTTTATAAGCACCTTGAGGCTTCATGTAGTTTTTAGCACCATTCATAGTCACAGCAAGAGATGAGTGTTTTGGATCTCTACTCAGTTCTATGTGACACACGTTCAATCTCTGCCTGCCCTCAACATGTTAGCTTCTTTTGAAAACTGTCTGGTGTCAATCAAAAAGAAAACTGTTAAAACGTCATCCCATAAAGATGGGACACTTTAAGGCAGTCCTGTTCGAAATGCCACAATGTAGCTGCCTTATGTGTGTAAATGTGCATTTTAAGCCTGTCACACAGTGCGTATGGGCAACGCATTTTATTGCGAACCGTTGGACGCGGAAAGCCGAAAACTTCCATGTAAAACAATAAAAAAGGGACACCACATCAACATTCGCTTGCACTACCTTGCATCTGAAAAAGCGAAATAAATGGGATCAGCTCAACTGAGGTTTTCCCCAGTTTTCATTTTCCCCATCGGGCCGTTCCCATGTCAATTTTCCGCGGAACTGACTTAAGCATGTTAAGAAGTGCGAGGTGTTGGTTGGCATGCTTGAAAATTACATTGTAAGCTTATTTACAACAGTTTCGTGCAGTTAATACAAGTCTCTTCCTTGTTCGATCTTATTTACAGGCACTGCTTCAGAAGACCGATTCATGGCCCTTTCTTACCCGATATGATCATATCCCCGCGTTCCGTGGTCCAGTAGTTAATCGAAGCTGGATAGGCCTCGGTGTGGCACTCGAGTATGACATCTTGGCCCAGATAGGCTCCCTCCAGCTGATTGGGTATGGATAGCATCGGCGGAACTGTTTAAATATTTGCAAGTTACTCGGTTAAGCTAGCTGAATCAAAGTGTATTTCAAAAAGTATAAAAGTTGTTATTTTGTGTGTCTCATTTCCACTTGGAGTTAAATTGCATCAGTTTTGAAATTGCTTTAAAGAGAATCTTAGACCAATGTACAAACTTGATGCTCCTGAAACTAATCCACTGCCATTATCTTTAAATGAATCCATTAAGCCATCAAGTGCAACTACCATACATCTACAGTAATCTTTTCCAGCTTCCCTAGCCATGGAATTCCCTTTGCAGACCTTTCATCAGCTATACGGCACTATCCGAGTTTTACCGAAAATTTTGCATACCATTTTACGTGAGTTTACAAACTGTTTTTGGATTAAAAGGCACTCAGTCATTAAAAGTGCGCCTGGGAGCGAGTGATTGTGTCTGGAACATGGACGTCCATCTGGGCGGGGTGTGTGTGCGTAAATAGCTTTGCTTGCCACCGCTGATACAGAAGGGGAAAATTCATGGGCGTGTGTGTGTGTGTGTGTGTGGGCAATGCAGTTACAACAACAAGAGCTGCTACGAGTGGCGAACGCATTTTGGCCACGCACACATCACGGGGGCACAAAATAACACCTGCCGACAAACAAACAAACACGCAAACGCCCACAAACAAAGCGAAATGAGCGCAGTGCATCAGCACAGGGAGACTAGAGATGGAAAGCTGGGGGAAATATGTTTTATAAATTCAAATATGACTATTTTGCAGTTTTAATGTGCGAGAGCATTTTGAAGTAGTGTTGAGTGCTATTCACGAATTCATTCACAAGTCATACTAGTTACATTTCCTCTCATCCTCTTGAATCACCATCACCACTCATATGTTTGTAAACTGTGGTTAGGTAATTTATCCCATTGTAAGCTGTCCATCACTAACATTTTCGGCCACTGGCAGTGCGACACACACGGTAAACTCTCACAGGTAAATTAATTTAACGTGACTGCAGCTTTTGGTCGATTTTGGCCAAGTGCGTGGGCATTTCCACCCACTGCCCCGCCCATCGCCCTTTTGTGTGCCAATGTTGAGGACGCGTTGCGGTTATTGCCCCAAAAACTGCATTGGCAACATGCAACGGGGGGTGTGGCGGGAAGTGGGTGGCGCACTGCCTTGTTTTGTTTGTATTTTACGTATTGAATCCAGCGTTCGTCACACATTCCAGTTTCCCCCTCCCCTTCCCCTCCCTACTCAACGTGCCATAAATATTGCAAAAGAGTTAAGCTCGAAATGGATATTACGTTATTTCAGCAGGTTCCATTTTACGCAGCCCAGAAAATCCGACAAAAAAGCACTCGTGATACACCGCACTCATTTAAATAACGAAATTGGTTACTTGGAGTGGAACCATGTGGCACCATACAATTAGTTGATACATTTAGATAATAAGTTTAGGCACAAATTTAGGGAAAAGCCATACTATGCTGGTCTCTAAACATTACCAAAATATGACTATTATTTATTATATAGTATTTCTTCAATGATTTAGCAGCTTCAAGGCACAGTGATGCGATTCTCATTATATTTTACCACATTTCCATGGAAATTATTGAACGTTTTCCTACTGCAACTTTTCTCTTCTTCAGCGAGTCAGCAATCTTTGGTGTGTGTGGGCCCTCAATTGACATTTACTCACATTGCACACGAAGGTGGACCCGCTTGCTAATCGAAGGTGGGACTCCGTTGGAGGCGACGCACAGATACGCGGCCATGTGCAGGCGACTCACTTTGGTGATGTGCAGCAGCTCACCGTCGACCACGTTGACTGGCGGGTATCAGAAATTCGGATTGGGGATTGGGTATTGGGTATTGGGTATTGAAGGAGAAGGAAGGACAGAGGAGAAGCCGGTTAAGCCAAAGCGCAATGCGGCAAGATAGGGTCGCTTACCGTGCTCCCCGCCAATTAGCATCTCCTCGCCGTCCTCGCGTCGCCACATGACGTAGGGCTCCGGATAGCCACGTGCCTTGCAGACCAGCGAGATGTTCTGACCCTCGCGCACCACCATATCGTTGCTGGTCAGGCCCTCGACAATCATCGGTGGAACTGAATGGTTTGGGGGAAAGAGCGAGGGGTGTTATCGCGGCCAATGGGTCACACCGGACCGGGGGTCAGTGGACGGCTATAGGGATTAGTTGTCGTACTCACCCACAACCTGCAAGTAGCCCTTCCTGGAGCGCATGGGATCCTGTCGGGAATGAAGAGATTAAATGCCTGATTTCCCGAACTTACATAGGCCACTTGAGCTCACCGTATTCACTTGGCACATGTACCAGCCGCGGTCCGTCTCCTCCACCTCCTTGATGTGCAAGTACCACTGCACAAACGAGTTATCGTTTTCAAATGGAATGATTATTGAATTTCAGCGATTCATTTTGCACTAATACCCACCGAGCGATGGTCATTGTAGGTCAGGCTGATGCGGTTGTTCTGCGAGATCACGTTGTGGTGAATGGACAGGATCGTCTGCGTGTCCACCCGCACCCAGGCCACCTTGTAGCCCTTGAGGTTCTCCACCACGCAGGCCATTAGGGCATCTCGTCCCACGGAGACGGTGACATTGGCAATGGGTTCCGCGAAGCGCGGAAAGTCGGATTCTGCAAGGATAAACGCGGTGAAACAGATAGTTTATTGCGTTTACTTAGTCCTTTTCAGTTTCCGCTGGCAAAAGTGGCAAAGGACAGATATTTTCGTGCGCTGCACTGCGACACATTGCACATACGCCCTGTGTGACGCTCGAAAAGCGGAAGAAATGGGAGCGCATTAATTACCTTCCTGTGCCGTCTGCTGGGTGTCCAGTCGCGTGTGTTTACCTGCAAGCGAAATGAACGAAATGGAGAGTGTTAGGTTTAATTAATTTAATTTCTCTTTAGCAGCGGAGTTTCGGCTGCCCACTGCAAAGGGGTAATAAACAAAAATTAATTAGCCCGGCCATCCAAAAAACTTGGTCGTGGACAGAAGATAGTACGGAAATTGTGTCTCTCCTCGTGTTTTGCTGATACGACAGAAATTCCGGCTGCGCTTTCAGATTTTTGCTTTAGTTTCATTTATTGCACTCGTTCTATGACAAAAGTTCAAGTTTAATTGTTTCTGGCTGCGTTGGCACTTTTACCTCATTCCCCCAGCTGCAGCGGAAACTTTTTCTGTTCGAGCTTGGCAGGAAATAATTGTGCCAAAAAGGTGAAAGGTGTTGGCAGGGAAAATTTTCCAATAAAAACTTGAGGCAAACTGCAAACTAGTAATGTTACGTTCAACATTTTCGTCCTGATGTCAGAGTCCGAATAGTCAAATGTTTGCGACTGTTATTTGCAATATCGGAAATATTGGGCTATTCATCTTCAACCTTTTCATTTTTATGGCCATGCCAGACACTTTACAAATGAGTTCGGGAAATTTGAGCCAGCGGCAAATCGCATTCGCCTTGCAGAGCTCGACGAGCGATGTCCGTGTCCGTAACATAAAACCGGGTAAATTGAAAAACGCTTAAGCATTTTTACAGCTTTTAACACGGTGCCGCATATTGAATTACGTTCGCTCTAGCCCGTCTTCCTTTTCCAGGACAACTGTTACCGTTTCCTACCACTGGCCATTGGCTTACCGCCCCCGATTTCCCCATTTCCCCATTTCCCCCGTCCATCTGAGTTTTCCTCTGGCACTTTTCAACTTCAGTTTCCCCGGAGCAGCTGCTGTTTATGCCTTTTCAGCTACGAAAAAATGCTCAACACGATTTTCGCTGTTGATTTACGTTTTAGCACGTTTTCCGTAAAGCTTAGCCGCCGTTTTTCCAGCTTTCATTCTTATATACCGAACTTTTTTTCTTAGTTGAGCATGACAGGTTGCACTCTGCAGCTTTTCGCTTTCCATTTGAATGCTGTTTCACTTTTCCTTTGCCATTTAATGAGCACCTTTTTACCGCCACTGAGATTTGTCCCTGACTCCTTTGGCCCCAATCCTGCAGGATACAGCACCCGCTATTCTCTCGCATTTTGGCAATGTAAAATGAACCCCATTTGACTGCGCTTACCCTTTGCATTCGTGATTATGTTTTTTTCCTTTAATTTGTTATTTAGCTGCTGTGTGTCAACATGGCTCACGTGACACACAGGCCTCGACTTTCCATTCCCGACTCTGTACTCTGGACGCCAGTCAATCAGTCGGAGCTCCAGAGCTCTATTCACGATCTGGCGTCCGGATTCTATTTGTCCTGGGTCCACCTGCACCCGTTGGCCTCTTTGTGCAAACGCGGGCAACCATTCAATTTGTCAGGCTGGACGGCGGCAGGTTCCCTTTCCCAAACCTAAACTGCCTTTTGAACTTTGTGCAAACAAAACGCACCGGGAAATGTCCGAGCTGAAAAGTGCCAGCCACTTTCAATGAGACCATCCTGTGCGCTTAAACTCGATTCTGATGCCGAGAAAAATTTAAATGCACCAAGAATAACACAAAAGTAAATATTAGCATGTAACAAATTGCACAAATTTTAGTTTTAATATAATTTAAATTTGCGCTTTAAGGAATGCATTTAAAGGCATCGAAATGCAAGGTCTGCTGTATGAACTTTAAGCACGCGCATCCATTATGCAGTGCAGTGATTTTCCGGATATTGAACGGTTTAGTGGTAAGACGGATTACAGATTGTGGTGACGGTAGGTAAGCCTGGCCAGGAGGAGATGGCACCTTCCCATCCTCTGGCCTAATCTCGACGGCCTCCGCAAACCAAATGGTCGTCATAAACAAAGGACACACACAAAGGAAAACTTTTCGCCAAGACGTGCCGCCCACTCGATTTTCGACAATGCCCGCAAATAAACTGCGGATACAGTGGGTGGATAAGGCAAATGTCCTAGTAAAACTTAGCTGGCAACACACATGTTTTAAACATTTAAAAAAATCCACGAAAATTTGATAGAGGGCTCGGAGTACAGGTAAACATATCCTGCTCATTGTCAATTCTAAATACCTAAATGATGGGTAATAATTCATCAGAATACTAATTTATCTGGTAGGTTTTTTAAATTTGTTGTAGCATTTTATTTTTTTTAAATATTGCTTGACTTGCTAAAGTATTAAATCTTTTAAGTTCAACTGTGGAAGATCAAACAGAGCTCAATTCAAAATGTTGGTGACCACATGTCATTATTTTTCTACCCACTGTAAGCTGCTTAGGTCCTCGCTGAGCTTGCCTTCCGCTTCCCTTTTTATGGGCCATCTTTTTTGTTGGCCATTTTTTCCGTTTATTTGGCTTGGGATGTCTTTGGAAGGTGGGGGAGAAAGCTGGAGAAATACTTTTGCTGGCCGTTTATTGTCGTTTATTTCTCTTTCTGCCATTTTTATATTTACGCATATAATCGCTTTCAACGCTTGCCGGCGCCTTGGGAGAGCCTATGGCAAGGACGTGGGTCTGAAGGCGCTTATAAATATGATGTTATCGCTTTTTATGGTCCACTTTTATTGCAGGCAATCAGTCTTGCGTTTTGTTTGCTGATTGCTTGCCATTATTCAAATGTATTTGTTTAATTCCCGGGGATTGGCAGCCACAAATCATTTTAAATCCGCAATATGTCAACAAATATTTGGACAACGAGCACATTCTTTTCGGTTCGTATCGCAGATGCTCCTTGTGCGGGTCATTATTGTGGCTTATATCCTTGGCTAAGGACACTTTGCGCCCCATTACAAGCACCCACTTAGCCACTGGTGCATTCCCTTGCCACCAAAGCAGCCTAGTATAATCACATTGCGTTTACGTAATTAGTTAAGGGATTGATAAGGCGAGCAAATCTTCTGCGCCGAACTCTATTGCCTATTGCCATACCACAGGCCGTGAGAATGTTCCACAAACTGATTATACTTGCACTTTGTTGACAAACGAGCTGATTACATGCCGGCTCTTGCTCATTATGCAATTAACTGGCAACTCAGACCCTCTGAGCCGTCTTTATTGACCAACACCCAACTGTGAATGCGTGTGTGCGTGTGTGCGTTGGCCCTATAAGATGGCCGATGGCTCAGGGCCTATTAACCTTAAAGCTCAAGACTGGAAACAAGTTAATTGTATTAAATTTTGCTTGCCAATTGCTTACACATTGGATACGATTAGGTATGTGGAATGGCGTTTGAGCCTAAATGTTTAACTAAACACTATAATGTTTAACTAAAACTAAGCATGTAATAAATAGCTTAGGTCTAGCGATCCAGCGTTTAATGGTCTCTTAGTTGAACAGACGTTTCACGTATCAGCAAAATTGTAACAACATAAATTTTAAAGTACTATTTGGCTTGCATAAAATTCCGTTTTAATTTTCAATATTTCCCAGCGTGAAATAAACAAAAACTATTCCGCAAACCCAACAGGTTAGCAACTGTTAATCAGGAATGCATACTTTAGCTGGCAGCATATGGAATGCTTTGTGCAAATTGTTTACTTTTGTCATAGAAGAAATACCAACCAAAATCCGACACAAAATCCCAAGCGGCAGAATGCTGTAAATTTGCGCACAGAGAGTTCAGGAGGGGGAGTTGTGCGAAAAAGTGTCTAAGAATGGAATGCAAATATCTACCCGACAATAAATGTAGTTATATATTCTGAGAAAACAGAGGGGACCGCAGAACGAACTGGAGATGTGGAGAAGTGCATTTCGCCAACTTGGCAGACAAATGAACTCCAAGTGAACCCGAAGTACACATGTTAGGAGGATACTTATTGTGTGTCTGGCTGCTAAAATACTTAGTCCGTGTAACGAGTTGCTTGTTCGCCGACAAGACAATGGTTCAATTGCAGATTCATCCAGATCGATGACGCGATCCGAAAAACTCATTAAGAACTTTAATTAAATCGAGAGTCGGCCATGAGCAAGTGCGAAGATTGCACTGCAGCAAGAAAACTCATTATTCATAACGACGCGAAGGCACAGGACTGAGAATCTGGGTCCAGCTGGAGTGGCGTTGGCAGCTGCAACAGCTTGAGTCGGGTTTTCCCGCCCCCTGGAGCATGCTGCGAATAAAAACAAAATATGTGCGAAAATGTGTCGGAAAGTGAGCGAAAACATAAAACATGCCAGCCAGCAGAGTGCGGATCCGGATGCGGATCCAAGGATCTCCCAACTCCCCTTATGACTTATGTTGCAAGGACGTCAGGACTCTGCTGTGGCAGAGTGGCTGATGGGGTCCTTTAGGTGTTGGCCGTGGCTTCAGTCACCTGACAGCAGCCACGCTTAAATTGCGCTGAACGTTTTAATAAATGAGTGTGACAAACGCAGTTGAAAGGATTAGGGGCAGGTGAATTGCGGTTTGCTCACTTAAAAGGCTAGGAGCACGCTTTAAAAATACTGTTTAAGAGATTAAGGAGATTAAAAGCATGAGGCTAACCGAACAAAGCTTTAAAAAAGTGTTGTGCATAATAGTGAACAGACATTTCCTGAGTTCAGTAAGTTCGGATGCTACCAAGTCCTCAAATTCTTGAATTAAACATACGGCTGTCACTCACTCAATTCGTCCTCCTGCTCGAAAGCACTCACTCAACTGGGCGATGTGACAGTGGGAAATTAAACGACATGCAAATTGCATGACCATCAAAAGTGGCCGACACTGCAGTGCATTACTCATACGCCCCGTACGTCAGCGCTTCGACGACTGGCGACATCTTGCCACCGAAAGTTGGGCGAAAGGAGCGAACGGAGCGAAGCGATTCGTAAGTGAATTTATTTCAAACAATTATGCAGCAATTAACAAACAGATGACGGCAATTAAACTGCAGCCAGGCTGGCGGGCGGCGGGTAGATGTCGAGTTGTGTCAAGTGCAGCAATCGACAGG